CCAATATAAAATATTATCTTAGTCGCATCACGGAAAAGTCTATAAAGTAGAGTTTGTGAGCCTGCGACGCCGCGCACTCCGTGACTGTGTTAAATTTATAAACTTTGCTTTTTGGATTAAATGTCACTTTAACGTTGGTATTTAATTTTTATAGTATTGTTATCTTATCGTGTGATCCGTGTGTTTTTAGTATACATTGTTAGTTATTTCATAGCAACGTACGGGCACGCTACCTAGTCCAAAGCCTAAAACAAAAGCTTCACCACTGGCTTTGTTGTCGCCGACGAGCATTCGGCTACCCTCGTTGTTAATCATTTTCACTGAAGCATTGATAGCCTGCAACATCCATCTATGGTCCAAAGGTCAACATCAACGACGACCTCCCAAATGTGCAAAGAACATGAACAACAACTTACTCCCACGACATGTCAAAGAGCAGCTTGGTGATGAGCTTGAAGTTTTAGTAGCTGAGGTAGTAGATACACGTACGACCAACATACTGAGCCTGCTCGGTTGCCCTTCTTCTACAATCACCTACAACTGCTTGTTTTCTTCATGCAAAATAGTTAATGCTGGAGTGGTCGCTGCAGCAACAGCCGCAACATTCACTTCTGAGCCTAGACAACCACTCCACAACTACACAACCAATGTCAGAAGCCTGGACGAACTAACATTCACCTACACAATTCAATAGCAATTCAGTTGGCCAAAAAATAAGGGGATTAAGTTACCTGTAGAACATCACTTGCAAATAAATTCCAGCTGAGCTTTATAATAGTCGTTAATGAGTAGTAATTTTGTTCTAATCCCACAAACTAACATTTACCTACACAATTTAATGAGAGCAATTCAGTTGGCCAAAAATTTAGGAGATTAAGTTACCTGTAGAACATCACTTGCAAACAAATTCCGGCTGAGCTTTATAATTATCGTCAATGAGTGGTACTTTTGTTTTCATCCCACACAACATGAAAATAAGTGAGGTAACTGCTCCCTGCAAGGATTCTGTAAAAACAAATGATCCATGTTTCTGACTGTTTGTGGCAGTAAAAATGGTCCAAGCCTAACAGTGTTTCCAGTTTTGTACTTCAAGGTACAAATCAGTACTATATAATATAATTTTGTCCTTTGTATATATATAATATTGGTTGTAGTTAATTATTATACATAACTAAGTAAAATGGCTTTTTGAGTGTTGTAGGGATTACTGATTTTAACGTGACAACAACAAATAAGCTTCAAGTGCTTTAACTATTTCTGCTCCTCTTCAAACATACTGTAAGAGTAACAAACGTTGTCATAATCAGTTGTGCATGAATCAAAGCATCTGGCACTTTTGTATTTACAAAATCCTAGTGCTGAGAAAGTTTTTTAGTTTTGTTAAAATATTGTCCGACCACCTCAGTGAGGCATAGGCCGACACTCTGTCCACTGCAGTGGACAAGCGCTCGTTGCCGTGTACAAAGGCTAGGGTGTAGAGTAACGCTGGTCACAGGCCGGATTTTGTTACTGATTAACCTCCACCTCTGCAAGACGAGCAAGCTACACAGATCAGATCAAAGTTTAAGAAAAAACAGATAGTAATTTAATTTTGAAATACTAACACTCTAACACTGTGTTCAGGAAATATGCAAAAACTAGCGGCGTTAAAAAAAGCCATGCCCTGGCTGGGGTCATATATGTCATATGTGCAGCTTCACTAGGTCCCCATCTTGCACACAACCACTCAAATAATCAACTGCTCAGTTCATATGCCTATGAGGAAGAATGCCCCCACCACGACCCCAATGGCAAAAATGGAAGAAAGATATAATGAACTGATTACAAAATCGAAGTTCTTGATGCGCCTTTTCCATGTAATTTTCTATGAACTTGATACTAAAAAAAGCTGAATTTTATGTCAAACCCTTAACCTAGAGCTAAGACTTCCCCCATATTCTACCATTTAAAATTCCCATGCAAAGACAGGACCCCTTTCTCACCCAACACCAAACACAAAAAAAAGAGAATGAATTGACCAACTTGATCGCGCGGGCCAAGTCGTGGTAGTCGCTAACCTGGTGGAGCAGTCTGAATAGTAGATATATTGATTCTTCATTCACCAACAGTTCAATCAAATGATTTGATTAATAGGTAGCCATTCATTTGCCCAAGTCATAAAAATTGTGCACTAATATATTCACCATGAAAATGGTGCAGTCATATATGTTCCATAAAACTGTGCAGCCATAAAATTGTGCAGCCATAAAATAGTCCTATATGTTCCATAAAACCAATCCAAAACACTGATCAGCTCACCTCTCATATGACTACCTTTTCTTTGCATACTCTAATACATGATTAATTTGCTTAGAACAATCTGAAATAAATGCAGTATTAACCTCTAGATGGCATACATTCTATGGTATCAGCTGGTATGCATTCTATGGAAGATGCAGCTTGTGAAAATCAATAGAGGCACGTAAAATTTATGAAGCCAGTAAATGATAAGGAATTAGCTGCTACTAAAATTGTTAGTTTATTGAGGAATGTATATTGTGTACTCTGAAAGATCTTATCTATCTTTTACCAAACTAAGTTTCTTCATATGATCCATGTCTGTTTCTCTGTAAAGTTGTGTAGAGCCGACGGCTTACCTTGTAGACGTGCAAGGCCCTGATGATGCTGATGGTGAATTGGTGATGAAGGTCTCGCTGCTGAGGGTTTCATCATTGCAAGAGAGGCCCCATCCCAATCCTGCCTAAATCGACAGGAAAATAGGTCCGATTAGCGATTCAGGTGGATAGCCTCAAGCCCACAACTACCAGACTTGACTAATTAAAGTTGCAAGATTAATTTTATAAGCAACTAAAAGATGCATTTGCCATTTTGCATTCACAAGCATAAGTCGTAGAAATGCACATGATTACAATCTCTCTCTAGTATTCCAATCGGAGGAGCAGGCAGCTAGCTAGGTGTATTTCTCGGAGCTCCATATTTCTCTAATCTCTGGTATGTACTTCTCAGCTAGGTACTTATGTAATCTCTAGTATGTACTTCCCTTCTCTACTCAACACACACACAAATGCACATGATTCAAATCAGAAAAGACCAAGTCAATCTCATTAGTACCTTTGTTGCCAGGGATCTCCTCTGTCTCACGAAAAAGGGAGGAGCGATGCTGACGCGTGCGAGCCACTTGCCAGTTGCCACCGGAACATGACTCGCCTTCCACTCCACAGCTCCGCTATCCGGCGAGATCCAGCGCTGCCTCAACGCATTCCACGTCGACGAAGGGAGGGAAGCAGGGATGGCGTATGGACACGTAGGAGGCAGAGGGAGAGGAAGCGGATGTGCTGCTACCAGCGGGGGCTGAAGTGGAGGCGGGGAGTGGCGGCCACAGGTACGGTGTCAAGGGTCAACTCCGCCTCTAGTGCGAGTGCGAGCCATGGTGCAGCAGTGGCCGCAGCCATGGGCGTCGAGGGTGTCGTCATCGGAGGCGGAGGCCGTGGGCGTCGGGGTGGTGTGGGTGGCGGCGTGGACCTTCAGGATGGGCACCGACGGCGGCGGATCTAGTGCGGAACCCGCCCGCGTGGGGATGAGGGAGGGGGCCGCTCGCACCGGCACGCCCGCCCGCGTGGGCACCGTCGCCTGTGCCCGCTGCCGCCTCGGGAGAGAGAAGGAGGGGTGCGTGGCGCGATAACCGATAGGGTAGAGAGGGAAGAGGAGTCGTAGTGCACGTGGGGAGACCCTCGCCGTGGAGACATGCGATGTTTCTCACGGATTGCCCGCGATGTTTCCTTTTGTCTCACGATGTTAGCGATTGTTTTGTCGCAGGCGCCGTGGTTTCCGGATGGGGGCAGGCCGTTGCCGGACGTGACGTGGGTAGACGGACGAACCAAAATAAATGTTGCATCGAAAAATATCCATGTTTTGTTATTTTTAGTTGCAGGAGCTACATTTCGTAGAAGTCGGAAACAAATCAACGACGGTTCACAAATGCGGATGTGGGTGCCTCTCATGGCAGCGGATCGGAGATCCTCCCGGTCGAGCGTGGGAGGGTCGGCTGTGAAGGCGCATGGTCCGCCACCTTCCTCGTCGAGGCGGGGTGGGGCTCCTCCCGGCAAGGCGGGGACCGGTGCGCGTTGCTCGTGGTGGCTGGCACCGGCGCACCGTATGACATCCTGTGCAAATGACATCAATCTTTTCCCCACTGTTGCCTGAGGAGTCTCGTTTGTTGGGCCAAATCAGGCCATTTCCCTAGCCCATGGCAAAGATGAGCTGGCCGCCCGGGCACTGGGAGGCGGCGGTCACGGAGGGCATGGGAGGAGGCGCCTCGCTGGCGTGGTGAAATTTGGGGCGGCGGCAGCAGCCGCCACGGCCGGCGATAAAGAGAGTGGCGCGGGAGGAGAGCATGGGAGGTGAAGCGCGCGGCGCTGGGAGAGAGAGGTCTTGGCTTGTGGCGCCACCACTCATCGGCTCCGTGAGCGCAACCTGCAGTGGAGGGCGGTGAGCTATTGCAGCCTTCCGGCCGCGATGCTCTGGGCCGCCAGCTGAGCCCGTGGGCTGGCAAGCGTTCCATGCCGTTCGACCATCCCATTCGCAAAGTCAAGAGGCTTTTACATGTATGCCATTAAAAAAGTTTGTAATTACACATAGGCCATTAAAAAAGTTGACCACACACAGATACCACTGTTCTGAACTTCTTTGCTCTCCAAGCCATTCCATCCGCATTCCGTTCATTTTTCACCGTTTGGGAGTCCTGACAAATGGGTCAGGTCAGTCAAAACGTCCATAATACCCCTCTCATCCCTATCCTCTCTCTCTCTCAAACTCGATCTCTCTTCTCTCGCCCGCGCCCGTGGCGGCTGTCCGGGGCCGAGCTCGCCCGCGCGCACTCGCGGCGGCCGGGGCGGACCTCCTCACGTCACCTCCACGCGCGCTGCGTCAGATCCACGGCGAGGACCGCCCGCGGCAGCTCCACGTGCGCCGCCTCCTGGCTCTCACCGCCGCCGTTGGGGATGAGGCCGCCTCCCTGCATGCTGGGGCCCTCGACGTCGCTGTCGGGGCTCGTGCTGCTGCTGCAGCTCCCCGCCATCTCCTTCTTCTTGGTCGTGGCGGCGTGGGAGGCGCGCCTGCACCTCGCCCGAGTGCGGAGCGCGCGGCGGCACAGCACGACGAGCACGCCCACGGCCGCGAGCAAGACGAGCTCCACCACCTCGAAGGGGAAGCAGCAGCACACCGTGGGGAGGAGACGCATTCGCCCGAGCCGCCAGCGCTGCGACGACGAGCAGGAGCACGGGGAGCGCGGAACGGAGGCGCAAGAGAAAGAGAAAGTTTGGGTGGCTGACAAACAGACCCCACCGTAGGGTAAAATGGTCATTTCACCTGTCTGTTTAACACCGTTAAATAGAAAAGCGGACGGAATGACTTAGAGAGCAAAGAAGTTCAAAACGATGACATCTGTGTGCGTTCAACTTTTTTAATGACCTATATATAATTACAAACTTTTTTTTTAATAACATACATATAAAAGCCTCCAAAGTCAATTACGCACGCCGTGTCAATTGTCAAACCAGTCAGTCGCGTCGTTCTCTGTGGTTTCCTCTCGTTTTCTCCCTTCCTTCCCCTGCGGGCTGCGGGCAGGAGAGCGGCGGCGAGGAGCAGCGAGGGGAGACGAGGTCACCGGTGGCGCTCTCCTAACCTACTCCCAGCCGCCTTCCGCTTACCTACTCCTGCCGCCTGTCCCAAGCTCCCGCGCCTACGTCGAGCCCTCCCGCCCCGCGCTGTCCCAGCGCCCCAGGCCGCCTCCCACAGACGCGCGGCAGGCACGCCGCCCAGCTCGGAGGGATTCGGGCCCCTCGTGTTCCCCTCCGCACCCCTCTACTGGCCTGGAGGGAAGCGAGAGATCCACCAGGAATTGATTGGATCGGCTTCTCCTTTTTCTTGGTACGGCGCCCTAACCTAGCTTGCTTTGGATGTTTTGTTTTGCCTGCGCATATCTTCTTCTCCCATCCCGGCAATGAAATCCAAATCTGGCTTCCTGGGGTGGGTGCTCCAATCTCATGGGGAAAAAAATTAGCGTTTACCGGAACAGGCATTTCTATGCAATCGTCAATCATTCCCGGGTTTGCTTGGGATTTCTGAAATCAGATGATAGTTTAAAACTTTACATATTCAGTCTTGTCAACTTGAACCTGGATGTACTAATGAAGTCAGCTGGCAGTTTACATATTCAATTTTGTGAACATGAACCAGGATATACTTGGACTGCGGTTCGCAAACACGGCGTTGGCAAGGCAATCCATCATTCCAAAGTGAGCTCGGACAGGTTTACTTTGGCTCTGAGATGGCTGATGAGGACTCATCCGACTTCACCTTCTGCAAGGTATGCATGCTTCTGCTCGCGTCACTTTAAATCTTGTGGACTGTCTCAAGAACCCACAATAAGCACTGAATATTATTTCACTGATATATGTTCATTTCTGAAACCAGTATATGTGCATAGGACATAAGTTCTGTTCAAACACTATGTGAACAAGTCAAGGGGAAGAATTAAGGAATTGAGAAAACACCAGATCGCTTAGGGAGATGGGGTCTGATTGCTTTTTGCTTGCTTAAAATCTGTCTTGACACTGTCTCTCACTACAGGCATTTAAACAGTTGCTTTCATTTGTTTTTCTATTTATCTTCATCTCCAAAAGCTCAAAGCTCCTTAAAAAACACTTGGTAAAACAATGACTATGCCAAGTGAATAAAATGGATAAGAGCTCTATTTTTTTTCCTTTCTCCAATAGTTAGCTTCTTAAAAATCGAAAACCAGGCAGTAGGCACGAAGCGCAGGGGATAACAATCATGAAACACGTGTATCTGGGAGTTGAGGGGGGCGATTTACCTAGTGCTTATCTTTAGGGAGTTGTTTTACAAAACTGTTGGAGGGCCCTTTTTTTCCCCTTTTTTTGCCAAAACAGAATTAGGGAGTTGTTTTAAGGAGTTTTTGGAGATGCTCTTGCTGCTCATGCCGTTGGATTGGGTCAATTAGTTGTGGACAGTACAAAGCTAGTGCATCTTTATGGGTAGTCACTTCATTACCTTTTTATTTAGGTTCTTATTTGGATATAGGTTGTAGTAACCACTCGATACACTCAGGTGCATGATAGCTTATCAATTGTTACTGTAGCAGTCTAAACCTTTTCTATTGCATATCTATCGGCTATTTCTCCCTAAGACCCTTGAGTTGTTAAGATCCCAAATGGTATGACTTACAAACTTACAGGTGCCATTTTGATTTTCTTGCTTTCTGGTTTACTTTCTGATATGACTTCTAAGAACTTATTTTGATATATCTGTTTTGTAGGTTAGTTCTGCAGAAAATGACGGTCAACCAGAATCTCCTAAAGCCATTCCTGTAGAAAGTATGACACTCGAGGATGTTCGTGTTGATAGTGCAAATACTTCAAAGAACAATAGCGTGGAAACTTCTGACTCAGAAAAAGATAGGTCTGGTAACAATGTCAGTGTTTCAACAAAAGACAATAACATGAAAGCGCCAGTTACACAGACAAGTGGTGGAGCAGAATCGAATGTGCCATTACAGGCAAAGCCTTCATCGAAGAAAAAACCCACAGCACGGGCAAAGGTTCCTTTTGAGAAAGGCTATAGTCCAATGGATTGGCTAAAGCTGACACAAACACATCCTGATCTAGCTGGTAAGTTGTTACTTGTTACAGACTTTACTGGTAGCTGACATGAACACATGCTGATCTTTGGTAGTTTGATCTATCTGCATAATTAATGCATAGTTGTTAAGGCGTCGCTATACCGACGCCATATCGTCGCCATATCGCCGTGGCGTTTTTCTGGCTCTCGCCACGGCTCCGGCGTGTATGGCGTCCGCCAAAGCGCCGTGGCGTCCCCGTGGCGCCGATTTGGCGTCTACTGGCGCGCTTTGTCTTGTTGTGTGGCGTATAATAGACGGTGAGGTGAGGCCGTGAGGATACCTGTATAGGCCGAGTGGCCGATTGAGCCCCTCGAGACCGAGCCCGAGACGCCTTTCGCGGGCTTTGGCAAAGGGGCGCGCATGAGCCGAGCCGCCGACGGCGCGCGCGCTCACCCACTGGGGAGCGCGCGCTGGCGAGGGGCCGGGCGACGGCGCTTAAGTCGTCGCCGCCACGCTCGCGCTCGCCGCTCGCTCTCGCTCAGCTCGCGCGACCGAGAGAGAGAGGGAGGAGTAGAATGGGAGTTAGGGTTTTTGGTTTGACGTAAGCCTTTTTTGAGGCGGCGAGATGCGGCGACCGTCGGATGCGATCCGACGGCGGAGAGCTGGCGGCGTCAAGCCCAAGCAAGCGGGCAGCGTGCGCATGACTTGGCACTTTGTTGCCCAGCCCACGTTGCGGCTCTGGGTGCGGCCGGCGCCAGCAGAGGTGTGGGCCGAGCCGAATTGCGGTTTTGGGCCCAAGAATGATAAAGAATGAGCCCGGTTTGAGAGATGAGAGAGTTCTATGTCTTTTGTGCTACATTTACATTGCTATTTTGATTTGCTAATATTGTAGACTATACCTTTTAAGCTACATTTGCATTACCATTTGTCAATATAATTTCCTAATATCCTAGACTATAATGTATGGCGTCGCCACGCCGATGTGTGTATGGCGTCGCCACGCCGCGCGCCATAGACGCTGTAAAGGTGTGAAGGTGGTGGGTCGCCGCGCCTCGCCACGCCGCCGTAAAAACAATGAATTAATGCCTCTCAGAGGACCTGTTGTGGTGTCTGGGAATGACAGTGGGTCATAATTATATTATATTAATTTATGTGTTATAATTAACTAAAATGGTTAAACTCATGTCATTTCTTAGAATTTAATTTACTGTGCTTTATTTTTCTGCTGAGTACTTTTGTCTGAAAGAAAGGTCCTTGGAGGTTCCATCACTGTAGAATAAACATAGTCAGCTTGAGATTCAATGTTTACCTTTATGAATAGTTCAATCAACTAAGAACCTTTCACTTTATAAAATTTCTTTCTTTTTTTTTTTTTTTTTTTTTGCTGTGGGGTACATGTTGCATTAGCTAAACTGTTCTGTAATTTTAATTGGATTGGATGGCTGATGGCTGATTGGCTGTGCTGAATACGAGCTCCATATATAAGCTTTCACCATACATTTCAGCTTTGTAGCATGACAAGTGACACTGGGCCCATAAAGGGACTGAGGCTGTTGTTTCGCTTGAGAAGTTGAGAGCATAGTTATATGTTTCCTAATGTTAATTCCTTTAACTAAAAAGCGAATGACATGTATTTTATTTTGTAATTTTTCCCATGGGCATAATAAGGCTTAGGCATATTAACTTAGTGATTTTCTGAGACAAGTTGGTTGTTTTCCTTGTGCAAACAATAGCACAATTATATCAGGATAAAATTATAGAGTAAAATACACCAGAGGTACAACAACTTAAGTAGGTTATAGATCTTGCAAAATGCTCAATCGGGTCACATTTGTTCTTTTTTTCATGAGTGCATTTGCTACATGGATTGGTTAGAGCTGTCCCTAGTATCGAGAAGCTCTTTATAGGAGGTGATCTTAATGGCCATGTAGGTACATCAAGTGCAGGTTTCGAGGCAGTTCATGGGGGTTTCGGATATGGTAGCAGGAACCAGGAGGGAGAGGAAGTCTTAGACTTCGTCATAGCTTTTGATCTAATGATAGCTAACACTTTCTTCCGTAAGAGAGTCCCATTTAGTGACCTTTAGTAGCGGCCAGCACTCGAGTCAAATCGACTTTGTCCTTACAAGGAGGGGTAAACGAACATGCGTGGACTGTAAGGTGATACCTGGAGAATGTGTGGTCGCTCAGCACAAGCTGGTGGTGGCTGACTTCCGCTTTCTGGTGCAAGTTCGTGGGAACAAACATGCTAGGATTGCTAGAACGAAGTGGTAGAAATTAGAAGATGAGGTATCAAAGGTCTTTAAGGAAAAGGTCATTGAAGAGGGCCTTTGGAATGATGAAGGCGATGCAAACAGCATGTGGGAGAAGATGGCAACATGTGTTCGGAAGGTTGCTTCAAATGTGCTTGGAGTGACCAAAGGGAGCGGATGCGACTCGAAAGACACTTGGTGGTGGAATGAAGATGTGCAAAAGGCTATTAAGGAAAAGGAGTGCTATAAGCGCTTGTATCATGACAGGTGTGCAAACAACATAGAGAAGTATAAGGTGGCAAAGAAGACTACAAAACGAGCGGTGAGTGAGGCAAAGAGGCGGGCCTATGAGGACCTTTACCGACGTTTGAGTACGAAGGAAGGAGAGAATGACATTTATAGGATGGCTAGGGTTCGCGATAGGAAGACAAGGGACTTCAACCAAGTTAAGTGCATAAAGGATGAGAGGGGGCAGCTTTTGGTGAAGGAGGATGAGATCAGACATAGATGGCAAGAGTATTTTGATAAATTGTTCAATGGTGAGAACGAGAACACCACCGTTCAGCTAGACGACTCATTTGATGACACTAATAGGCGCTTTGTGCGGATGATTCAAGAATCAGAGGTCAGAGAAGCCTTGAAAAGGATGAAATGGGGCAAAGCGATGGGCCCTAATGGTATCCCAATCAAGGTGTGGAGATGTCTCTAGGATATAGCTATAGTATGGCTAACCAAGATGTTCAACAATATCTTTTGATCGAATAAGATGCCTGAGGAGTGGAGAAGAAGCATATTGGTACCAATCTACAAGAGCAAGAGAGATATCCAAAGTTGTACTAATTATCGGGAAATTAAGTTGATGAGCCACACTATGAAGTTATGGAAGAGAGTCATCGAGCAGCACCTGCGAGGAACGACGCAGATATCAACAAACCAATTTGGTTTCATGCCCGGAATGTCAACTACAGAAGCAATCTTCTTAATAAGACATGTTATGGAGCGGTTTAGAGAGCAGAAGAAGGACCTCCACTTGGTTTTCATTGACTTGGAGAAGGCTTATGACAAGATACCAAGAAATGTTATATGGTGGTCTTTGGACAAACATAAAGTCCCATCAAAGTACGTGACCCTCATCAAGGACATGTACAACAATGTTGTGACTAGTGTTTGAACAAACGATGGTAACACAAATTACTTTCCGATTAAAATTGGACTTCATCAAGGGCCAGCCTTAAACCCGTATCTCTTTGCCTTGGTAATGGATGAGGTTACCAGGACATACAAGGGGATATCCCTTGGTGTATGTTGTTCGCTAATGATGTAGTGTTAATGGACGAAAGCCAGGCGGGAGTAAATAGGAAACTAGAGTTATGCTGGCAGACCCCTGAGTCTAAATATTTTAGATTGAGCAGAACTAAAACCGAATACATGAGATGTGACTTTGGCGGAGTTGTACAGGAGGAGGGAGATGTGAGTTTGGAAGGTCAAGTAGTGCCTAAGAAGGATACCTTTCGGTATCTGGGATCGATGCTACAGAGGGATGGAGATATTGATGTGGACGTTAGCCATAGAATCAAAACAGGGTGGATCAAGTGGCGACAAGCTTTTGGCATTCTCTGTGATATGGGGGTACCACAAAAGCTAAAAGGCAAGTTCTACAAAACGGCGATTAGACCGGCCATATTGTATGGAGCAGAATGTTGGCCTACAAAGATTCGACATGTTCAACAACTGAGTGTTGTAGAAATGCGTATGTTGCGATGGATTTGCGGTCACACAAGAATGGACTGAGTTCGGAACGATGATATACGTGATCGCCTAGAGGTAGCACCAATTGAAGAAAAGCTTGTCCAACATCAGTTGAGGTGGTTTGGCCATGTCCAAAAGAGACCTCCAGAGGCACCAGTGCATTGTGGAGTCCTAAGCCAAGCTAATAATATGAGGAGAGGTAGAGGAAGACCAAAATTGACATGGGGGGAGGCAATAAAAAGAGATTTGAAAGCTTGGGATATACCTAGAGATCTATGTTTGAATAGAAGCACTTGAAAAGCAGCTATTGAAGTGTCTGAACCGTGACTTGGGGCTCTTGGTGGGTTTCAACTCTAGCCTACCCCAACTTGCTTGGGACTGAAAGGCTATGTTGTTGTTGTTGTTGCATTTGCTACATGGATTGCTACTTGTCACGTTCTACATGTTGCCATGTCAGGCAAAGGAAACCTTGTTGGACCATTTCTTTAACAAATAGGGCCGCCCCCTTACCCCAAGTCATTCTCACAGTTTTGCAATAATTTCTTAGAATTCAGAGTGGGCATTCGGTGTTAACCGACAAATCGGTTCGGTTTGTTCGGTTGCTGTGAACTTCGGTTTCCAGAAATCAGCAACCGATCGGTGTTCTATAGAATCAAAACCGACGATTTGGCTTCGGTTTACTCGGTTCGGTTTTTGGTTCAACCGATCCAACCGAAGTGAAACGAAGAAGAACAAATCGAAGGGAAAAGAAAAAACGCCGTAACCGGGAAGAACAAATCCGCAGGAGGTCCGCCGCTCACCGCGCCGCTCACCTAAGTCGCTGCTAGCATGCCTCACAGTCACGGCCGGCCGCTTGAAGCCCCGAAGCTCGCCTCGTGCTCGCGCCGCCGCCGCCGAGACCTCGCCGCCTCGCTTCGCACCGCCGTCATTTGAGACCTCGCCTCGCCCTCGCGCCGCCCGCATAAGCTTCGCTCACGCAGCATCGCGCGCGCGCCCGCCATAGGATGCCTCGTCGACTGCTGCAGCCCCGCATCCCGCCCTTGGCACCGGCGCCGCCGCTGCATTTTCTATTGGAACGGACGAACTCGTGGAAGACAGACCGGGACGGGAGAGCTCCTACGGATAAGGCTCTTGTGTTTGTGAGATGGGCTGCAACTGCGAGGTTGGGTTGGGCCTATACGGCCCAAGGTGGGAGGGTGGGACGGAGAGAAGCAGGGTAGTAGCACAGGGACAGGGGAGATGAATTCGGTCATTCGGTGCTTCGGTTCAATTCCATGCTGAAACCGACACCCGAACTTTGATGATTGCAAAACCGAGAACCAAACCGAACAAACCGAAACTTCGGCTCGGTTCGGTTCGGGTCGGGTCGGTTATCGGTTTTCGGCTGAAAAGTGCCCAGGGTGACTTAGAATGAACTATGTGATGGTTCCATACTGTTGTGAGGTTTATGTGCCATAGCTGTGTTGTTTGTCAAAATGAGTTCATTGCATCTCATTATGAATTTAGTCAACGAATCTGTCCCATCAGTTCAGTTGAGCGAAGTCGGGGTTGATCGCAACTAGTTGTTGGCACCGATCAGGGATTGGCAGCTGTTTATCTCCCCAACCAGACACTGCTGCTCAGTAATACTATAATGCAATAAATCTCTGTATTTAAGTCATGTCACAGTATGTGCTGATTTAAGTGATCTTTTTCCTGTGAGAATTAGGGCAGCAATGGTGGTGAACTTCCATGTATTAGCGCACATGCATTCATGATTCTATATTCTCTTGCTCGTTAACAGTGCACCAATACCAACAGCTGGTGGCAAAGAACTAATAAGCATACTAATAGGGAATTTGCTCATAGAGCAGGCGGTGAAGCTCCAAGGTGTGAGCTGACTGGCCAGAACTCGAGACCTGGCTCCCATAATGGCCTCCAAAGAAGGCCATGACAGGGACCCTTTTAAAAATAAGTATGTTAATAGCAGCTGCTACTACCGTTAGTTTGTTTAAAGCTTTACTAGATCAGGTACAATCCCCTTTGTAAATAGCTTCCATTCCCCTTCTACAAGCTTGAGTCATCAGATGATCTCAAAAAGATAAAAAAAGAAGGTTGAACTATCAGCGCTGCCGTCAACATTTCAATGATGGCTGGGAGCTGTTGTGGCACTGTGGTATGATCGTGCTTATCCAAGTTATCAAATGCACCCATAAAACAGCTTTAGTGACATGTTTGAGCATTTTGCAATATTTATGACCTACGTGCAGTGCACCCCTACAATGCAAGTTGTTGTATCCGTGATATATTTTACTCAAATTATAAACAGGATGATGTTTGTGTCAGAAATATTGTCTTGAGTTCGCAATGCTTACCCCCACACTGCAAAACCTTTTAAAGGTTAGATTGACACATTTTGAGATCTTGTCAACCTTGTTATGTCAATCTGGGAGTTATGCTTACACAATTGCACTACAGTTATAATCATGTTTGCCATTTTTGTTTACCTACTTGCAAGTTTTTTTTGCCCTCAATTGATTATCTGATAATTGATGAAATGATGTTTGTTTTCCTTCCTTTTATAGGGCTTAAGGGGCAGTCAAACCGAAGGTTAATATCTTTAGAAGAGGTTAAACAGCACAAAGCAGGAGATTGTATTTGGACAGTTCTCAAAGGCCGCGTGTACAACATTGCTCCATACATGAAATTTCATCCTGGAGGTAATCATAGTTTCAGTTCATTCAGAGTTATTCTGTTTGAGTTTCAGAACCACTGTTCTCGTCTCACAAGTCACAACCTTTTCTGTATTATGATACATTTCCTAACCTGTATCATGTTTTGGGTTGATTTGCAGGTGTTGATATGCTTATGAAAGCTGCTGGGAAAGACTGCACTGCTTTGTTCAGTATCCTTCTATTATTATTTCTGCACTGTGATTCTTATCTTGCTGCTTGTGGACTCGTACTGGAACACCATTTTTATTATGCAAGTTGGTGTGGTACCTAAAGGCATGGCATACAAACAGCAATCACTATGATGCCTTTGCAGACTTTTTTCCTCAATCTCTTGGTGATTGACCTGCTGATGATTACATTCGTTAACTGTCCCATTTTGTGATTGTTGATTGTGCATCTGCTGATAATTCTTGATTGCTCCTTGACTTGACGATAGATAAATACCATGCTTGGGTAAATGCAGAGTTCCTCTTGGAGAAGTGCCTTGTCGGATTCCTTGATCCCAACGAGTAGATGTGGGGGTTCAGGCCGCATGGCATTTTATCACTTGATGCACACCCGATCTCTTTGTAGGCACCTCAGTCGATTGAATTAAAGAATCTAAATGTTCTATTGTATCACAACGGGAGTACAATGATTAAATTCTGTTTCAAAAAGAAAGCGGAATTGTTATGCAGATGAGAAAATCCAGTCCAATACTGGTATGTCATTACAGTGCAAGGTGAATTATTGCAACACCTGATGGAATACATGCCACAGCCATGACATCGTCAAGATGAACGCATGTCTGTATAAAAAACGAGTGGTTGTTGTTTATATATGCCTGTGTTATATCATTTTTAATTTTTTTTCATGACTGGAAACTTTCATTTAACCTCACAAATAGCTATCATGTTCAATATGCAAAAGGATTACCAAGTTCAATTTTGTCAAGAAGTGCTGATGATTTGTTTTGAAGTTTTGTTATTCTTTTGATGTAGTTTCTTGAGACTGTTCTTAATTTGTGTTAAAATTAAATTTGAAATTAAAATTGTTTGGCAAAAAAGGAGCGGACAACGTGGATGGCGGAATAGAAAGTTGGGCCGAATGTGTGGCAAGACAGAAGCTCCCTTTATGCTAACCAATGTAGCTAGAAAGATTCCAGAACTAGATAACATAACCCAACAACTGCAGTTAACTCGAGGCATCCACTGAAAAAAAAAAGTTAACTCGAGGCAAAACAGTCATTAGCGAAACAGCTAGATATAAATTTATTTCAGAGGTGGAAGTCTCTCTTTTTAACTTGCTAAATACAATTTTTTTTCTAGAACACGACTTCACGTGTATTTCATTAAGAAGAAGCTTAACGTAAAAGGCTACATCTTGAACAAATGCGCGACATTGCTAAATACAATTCATTTATTACGTCCGTATTTTATATTTCGATGAAACAACTTTCGTGTCTTGTATCGCATAGTATGTGCGGATGGTTTCTTGGAGCGTTGGTAGGCACATACACCTTGGATTTACTAGAAATGTTTATGGCATCCAATACAAGAGAGCTATGTACTTGCTTCGGGGAACACTATATATACTCCTGTATGCTTAAACAACTCCCAAGATGTTGGAACAATATACTACTCTACTCTACTAACCAGCATGTTCAAATAAAACATAAAATCCCGACCATACATATTAGTCACACTAATATTATACACAATTTGTGGACTACGTGACAAGAACATCTGTTCAAAGCGTGGTGCACAACTACGTACGGATCTGTATTCTCTATCTAGAAATAAACGTCATGTATAAACCAACAAGATAATACGACGAAACATGTGTCGGCTCAGTTCATGGGAGAGATGCTTATAGATGTAGGGTTTAGGTACGTTTGTTCACATGTGTGAGCATACGCGGACCCAATGCCTGGCGAGCCTGACCCATGCCCGGGCTCGTCTCCTACTGGGCCTTACTCCTCCACAGCTGTTGTCGTCAATCCCAGGGGCAAGACCGTATGCGACGCTCCAAATCCCCAGAACCAGTTGCGCTACGGAGATCAAATCGCCAGCCATGGCCAAAGGTGCGCGACGTTCTCAATTCCCCATTTATTTACCCTGTGCCGCACTGCCGCTCCTGCCTTCTTCCTTGGCCTGGTTTCTACCTTCACGGCTTCACCTCAGATCCGTTTTGCCTCTGTTAGGGGGAGAACGGCAACCGGCGGCCTCGCTGCAAGCCGTGCTGGAGCGCCGGCCACAGGGTGTCGCAGTGACGCGTCGTCGACAAGGGCAACATCCCTCTACCCTCACAGCCATAGGCACCGGTCTTCTCAATTTGTAGCAAATGGCAGATAGGCAAAGGAAACTTAGCCAATCAGGTAAATTTGGGCATAATTTGATAGTTGATGATTTGTTTGATTGCTTATGTTCAATGCTTAATTCTTGCAATAAATTTGAAATTTGTTTTAGGAATGAGACGTTTTTTGGTTGATACGAGGAATGTTCCTGGTGGAAGTCATGAAACTGGAAGAAACTCAAACTTAGAGCAGCCACGTGAAGATGAAGTACCAAATCCAGATCATCAGCAGCCACAGCCAGTGCCAAACATCGGCAATGTAACTAGTGAGTTTGATCCTAACGAAATTCTCTGTGATCCGGCTCTTAGAAAACAAATCTATAAGTATGCTCCTGAAATTCAAGACCAAGTTAGAAGAGCATATATATTGAAGGGTCCTACACAACCAACAAATCTGATTTTTTCCCCGCACACAATTTGGGATTGGTGATTCTAGAAAATTTGTTATATCATGGTATAAGAAATATAATTGGCTAGAATACAGTGAGTCCAGAGATGTTGGTTTTTGCTTTTATTGCTTTCTTTTCAAGCAACCGGGAAGGGCAGAACATTTTGGTCATGATAGCTTATTAGCTTCAGTAAAACAAGTTGGAGAGATTGGAAACATGCATATAAAGCATTACCTGAACATGTTGGTGTAGTGGGCAGTGCTCACAACAAGTGTGTTAAAAAATGCGATGATTTTAAAAATCAAAGACAAAGTGTATCAAGTGTCTTAAACAAAGCCAGTAAACAAGCAGAAGAATTGTATCAAATTCGTTTAACTTCTACTTTACGTTGTTCAAGATATCTCTTAAAGCAAGGGCTAGCTTTTCGTGGGCATGATGAGTCTTCTTCTTCTTTGAACAAAGGAAATCTTCTTGAGTTGATTGATTTTTTGAAAGATAACAATGAAGAAGTCAGATCTGCCTACGACCGTGGTGGGTTAAATTGCAAGATGACTTCCCACAAAATTCAAAAGGATCTTGCAAGATGCTGCGCAGAAGAAATAACTGAAGCAATTATGGGAGAGATTGGTGATAGAAACTTCTCTGTTCTTATTGATAAATCACGGGACATTTTAGTTAAAGAGCAAATGGGGGTAGTTTTAAGGTTAGTAGCTGATTCATTGTATTTGAGATGTGCTACTGTAGTTTTAGCCTTGTTGCTGTTTTATTTAAATAATTAAATTGGTGTTGTTTGTCAGGTACGTGAATGCTAAAGGGAATGTCATCGAACGATTTCTTGCACTTGTACATGTCAGAGAAACTACAGATGATTCACTAAAGGCAGCATTATTTGGAGTTCTTGACAGGCACAAGCTATCTGTTTCTCATATACGGGGGCAAGGATATGATGGAGCTTCGAATATGAGAGGTGAATTTGGTGGCTTACAGAAAAAGATTCTAGATGAAAACCCATATGCCTTCTATGTCCACTGTTTTGCCCATCAATTGCAGCTAGTTGTTGTTTCTGTAGCAAATTGTTGCTCATCTATTCATGATTTCTTTGAGTATGTCTCATTGATTTTGAACACAACAACCACATCTTGCAAGAGGAGGGACACACTACATGAAAACCATCGTAAAAATACTTTGCGACTTATTGAAACTGGTGAGGCAACAACAGGAAGAGGCTTGAATCAGGAAACCAGCCTTACTAGACCTGGGGATACAAGATGGGGATCACATCATACTACTTTGATTCGTTTGTATCAAATGTGGGACTCAGTGATAGAGATGTTGCGTATAGTCCATGAAGATGGTAGAGTACCAAATCAAGCAGCTGGTTTGATACAAAAAATGGAGTGTTTTCAGTTTGTTTTTATTCTGGTGGTTATGTTAAAGTTGCTTGGTATCACAAATGAGCTCTCACGTGTCCTTCAAACAAAGGGTCTTAACATTGTTGTTGCACTTGAGATTAGTACCTAGTACTTATAACTTACTGGCTGTCATCTGTTCTTTTTTTTAGTATAACATTGTTATTGCTATGCAGCTTATTCATGATGTGAAGTCTAGATTGAACACCTTGAGAGAAAGTGGCTGGGATGACTTATTTGAAGAAGCAAAACAGTTTTGTGCAGCAAAGAGTATTCCAGTCCCAGATATGTCTGCAGAGATACCAGTGAGGGGTCATTCAAGGCGTGATGGATTTACTATCACTAATCTTCATCATTATCGTGCTGAAATTTTCTATGTTGTTGTTGACAAAATATGTGCTGAGATGAATCATCGGTTTAGTGAAGCAACTACGGAGGTATTATTGTGCTTCTCTTGTCTTTATCCAAGTAACTCTTTCTCCAAGTTTGATGTCAACAAGCTTGCAAGACTGCTAAAATATATGATGCTGATTTCTCTGATCATGACCGTGGAATAATAAGGGAACAACTTGAGACATATGTTCTTCAGGTGAGGAGGCATGCTGCCTTTGCTAATTGTACAGATATTGAAAGTTTGGCCACAAAGAAGGTTGCAACAGAAAAACATTTGGTTCTTCCATTGGTGTACAAGCTCATTGAATTGGCATTGTTAGTGCCGGTATCAACTGCTACTGTGGAAAGGTTGTTCGCAGCAATGAAAATTATTAAGTCTAAATTGCGGAATAAGATTGCCGATGATTGGTTCGACAACTTGATGGTGTGCTATGTTGAGCGAGAACTATTCAGATCACTCGATGAAGCTACCATTCTTCGATGGTTTCAAAATTTGAAGACTAGAAAGATGCAACTTCCTCCTAGTCGTATGCTTTGTAGTTAGAAACTAGCGTGTGATTTTTTTCTGTTAAATTTTACTCTCCATATCCATGATGTGAACATGTATTGCAACATGATTTTGGTTAAGACTAATGAGGTTGTCAACTTGTCATATTTTACTTGTACTGTATGTTTCTAAGCAACTCCGCCTATGGTGGGGCGCCTTTGTTGTCCCAACATAGCAGGTCCTAAGCCCTGGTAAAGGAGGAGGGTTGTATTAGACACGACGAGCCAATGTAAAAACTTAGCCACTTTTATGGAAATGAAATCCAAAAGAATCCCGTTGGGACGTAACCCTCTTAGCGACGCGCCATGTTGGAACTCGGGTATGGTGTTAAATGAGCAAGGGCTGGGTCGTCACTCCCGTGTCGCGATCTGGACACGGTGTCAAGTGAGCAAGGATCGAGTCATCGCATCCTTAATGGCGCGCCACATCGGCGCCCGTGTGTGGTACAAAATGAGCAAGGGTCTTCACACCTACCTCGACGGGTGCGAAGGGTAAGGAAGCTAGTAGAGTCAACTAGGATCCGTTTAGGTAGCTGGAATGTAAGGTCCCTTACGGGTAAGTTAAGAGAGTTAGTAGACACAGCGGTTAGGAGACATATAAATATCTTATACGTCCAAAAGACTAAATGGAAGGGGCAGAAGGCGAAGGAGGTGGACAATACTGGCTTCAAGCTCTGGTACACAGGGACAACTTCAAATAAAAATAGAGTAGGAGTTTTGATTGATAAGAGCCTCAAGGATGGTGTGGTGGAGGTGAGAAGACAAGAGGATAGAATCATCTTAGTTAAACTTATCATTAGTGATATGGTCTTAAACATAATTAGTGCGTATGCCCCCAAGTAAGCCATGATGAGAGTGCTAAGCAGCTTTTCTGGGAGGACTTAGATCGTTTGGTTAGAGCTGTCCCTAGTAGCGAGAAACTCTTTATATAAGGTGATCTTAATGGCCATGTAGGTACATCAAGTGCAGGTTTGAAGGCGGTTCATGGGGTTTTTGGATATGGTAGTAGGAACCAGGAGGAAGAGGAAGTCTTAGACTTCGCCATAGCTTTTGATCTGATGATAGCTAACACTTTCTTTCATAAGAGACAGTCTCATTTAGTGACCTTTAGTAGTGGTCAGTATTCTAGTCAAATTGACTTTGTCCTTAAAATGAGAGATAAACGAACATGCGTGGACTGTAAGGTGATACCTAGAGAATGTTTGGTCGCTCAACACAAGCTGGTGGTGGCTGACTTCTGCTTTCTGGTGCAAGCTCGTGGGAACAAACAAGCTAGGGTTGCTTGAACGAAGTGGTGGAAATTAGAAGAGGCATCAAAGGTCTTTAAGGAAAAGGTCATTGAAGAGGGCCCTTGGAAGGATGAAGGCGATGCAAACATCATGTAGGAGAAGATGGCAACATGCGTTTAGAAGATTGCTTCAGAGGTGCTTGGAGTGACCAAAGGAAGCAGATGCGACTCGAAAGACACATGGTGGTGGAATGAAGATGTGTAAAAGGCTATTAAGGAAAAGAAGGATTGCTATAAGCGCTTGTATCATGACAGGTGTGCAGACAATATAGAGAAGTATAAGGTGGTAAAGAAGACTATAAAACGAGCGGTGAGTGAGGCAAAGGGGCGGGCCTATGAGGACCTTTACCAACATTTAAGTACGAAGGAAGGAAAGAAGGACATTTATAGGATGGCTAGGGCTCGCGATAGGAAGACAAGAGACTTCAACCAAGTCAAGTGTATAAAGGATGAGAGGGAGCAGCTCTTGGTGGAGGATGAGATCAGACATAGATGACAAGAGTATTTTGATAAATTGTTCAATGGTGAGAACGAGAACACCACCGTTCAGTTGGATGACTCGTTTGATGACACTAACAGGCGCTTTGTGCGGAGGATTCAAGACTCGGAGGTCAGAGAAGCGTTGAAAAGGATGAAAAGGGGCAAAGCAATGGGTCCTGATGGTATCCCAATCAAGGTGTGGAGATGTCTCAGGGATATAGCTACAGTATGGCTAACCAAGATGTTCAACAATATCTTTCGATCCAACAAGATGTCTGAGAAGTGGAGAAGAAGCATATTAGTACCAATCTACAAGAACAAGGGAGATATCTAAAGTTGTACTAATTATCGAAGAATTAAGTTGATGAGCCACACTATGAAGTTATGGGAGAGAGTCATCAAGCAGCGCCTGCGAGGAACGACACAGATATCAACAAACCAATTTGATTTCATGCTCGAAAGATCGACCACATAAGCAATCTTCTTAATAAGAGAAGTTATGCAGCGGTTTAGAGAGCAGAAGAAAGACCTCCACATGGTTTTCATTGACTTGGAGAAGGCTTATGACAAGATACCAAGAAATGTTATGTGGTGGGCTTTGGACAAATAAAAAGTCACATCAAAGTACGTGACCCTCATCAAGGACATGTACAACAATGTTGTGACTAGTGTTTGAATAAACGATGGTAACACAGATTACTTCTCGATTAAAATTGGACTTCATCAAGGGTCAGCCTTAAGCCCGTATCTCTTTGCCTTGG